AAATATTAGCAGTTAAAAATTAGCTATCGCCGAAAGATATTACCGGAATACGATTATTTATTAGATTTATAAACTATATATATATGTTTATTAAAAATTTTAATAAAATAGCAGCCCTATTAACGGACCTAACTAAAAAAGAAGTTTCGTTTATTTAGACTAAACATAAATAAAAAGCCTTTAATCGGATTAAAAAAATAATTTTTAGCGTACCGATACTAAAACTTCCCGACCTTAATAAAAAATTTAAGGTTGAAGTCGATATTTACAATTTTGCTATCGGAAAACAATTAAAATAACGAAACGAAAAAAACAAACTATATCTAATAATTTTTTTATTTAAAAAACTGTTAAAGCTTTAATTTAACTATTAAATATATAACAAAAAATTAATAGTTATTATAGAAATATTTTACTAGTAAAAACTTTATTTTAGCAAAATTATAATATTAGTAAAAGTTTATAGTAACTATAAAAATTTTATAATTTTTATAACGACTAAAAAGTTAAATAAACGACAAGTTAAATAGGCAAAATTTCTATTTTAATTTAATTTTTAAATTATTTACGTAGCTAGAAAAAAAACGTACAAGTAGATATTTTTAGCTATAAACTAAAACACCGACAAAAAATACTACTATTAAGTTAAATATTTTTAAACTTTATAAAAAAAAAATATTTTACAATTGCGATAATTTAACAAGATTATAATAAATAGACCAATCGGATAAAAAGCTACTTTCGAGGAGCTATAAAAAGAAACTTTTCAAAAAAAATTATATTTTAAAATAATATATAAAAAATAAATAATACTATAATATATAAAAACAAACTATACGTATTACTAATATTTTAGAAAAAGTTAGTTAAGGAGCTATATAAATACCTATTAGCAAAATATTAAAAAAAATTTAAAATATTTTTAAAATTTTAAAGAATTTACGACTTTTTTAAAATAAAAAAAGTAGTTAAAAAAATTATTAAAAAGTACAATTTTTATAATAAAGCTAAATTATTACGATATAAACTTTATAAATTATTAAAATTTATATTATTATTAGGTAAAACGTAAAAGGTAGTTATATTTGATTTTATTACAAAATTGCTACTTTTTAAAAAATCTATAACAAAAATGTTTTACGATAATATTTTTGTTATAGTATATAAATTTATAAAAATAGTATATTATATTCTTTATATTAAAATAAGCATAGTCGAAGATTTTATATATATTATAATTCGGTATTTTATAAATCGATATAGGATGTTTAAAAAATTTATATCTAATAAAAATCGAAAAATAGCATCTAAATATTAGCAATTTTTAATAAAAGTACTAAATATTAAAAATAAAATATTTATAAAATATTATCTATAAATTAATAGATAAATAAAATATTTTAATTAAATTTTAAAATCTTACTTATAATATTATATTAATAAATAATAAAACAATTAGGTTAAAAAATTATTTAATATAAAATTTACTTATAATAACTTAAATATCGAATTTATTAAAATATTACTATTTAAAATAAATTATAAATTTAAGCTAAATATTTTTAAAATACTATTCGAAAATATTACCGTACTATATATAAAAATTTAAACAAAAGATTTAATTAGTTTATAACAACAAATATAAATAAAATTAATATTTCTTTAATAACGCTTAAAGTTATATTATAATAAAAAACGGTTATTAAAGCCAATTTTAAAAAAAAAAGATAAGGTTTATCTATTTTAACAAAATATTAAAACAAAACAATTAAACGAAAAATTCGATTTTAAAAAAATTGGACTATTTAAAATCGAAAAAGTTTTATCAAATTTAAATTATTAACTATTATTATTTTAAAAAATAAAAATATACCTAGTTTTTTATATCTTATTATTAGAACTAGTACTACAAAACGCTAAATTCGAAATATAACTTAAAGCAAAACCCGATTAAAATATATATAACGTTAAAAAAATACTAAACTTACGTTAAAACAAAAATATATTTAAATATTTAATATATTAAAAAAATTACCTACATTTAAACAATATTTAAGAACCTAAAAAAAACCTATCGTCTATTTTAACGATTATAGCGGACTATTACTGCTAGTACCTTAATTAACCAAAGCTAAAAAAGAAAAATCGACCCCTCAAAAAAAATCAAAAGCAGGACCTAAGCCAATTAAACCCCAATTAATAACATCGATTACGCTGCCAATATAAGCAGAAGCCACAGTATTAGACTCTTGTCGTTTGTATTTATTTAACTCGTTTAAAAACTATAAATTACGATTTATTATCTAGGCCCTATAAATAATAAAAAAAAAACGTTGAACCTGCAACTAATTAAATTTTATAAAAGCTTTTTAAGTTTTCTATATCAAATGGTTAAAGCGTTTAGAGACCGCCTCCTCCTCATTTTTTAGACGACGAGATTCGAGAAGTATACAATTTAAGGAATTTATCGGGATCTCAAAACTATCGCAGAAAATTCCGCGACGAATATATTTTTTACAATAAAAAATTCCGTCTATTATTTTATATTTTACTTTTTGCTTCTGCTGTTGATATGCGTAATAATTAGAACAAGGTATGACTTCGAAACTAAATTCGTCGATCGTAGCGAAAAGACAGTATCGTTGCTCGGTTTTAGACAAGCGTACGCGTTTATTAATTCGGCTTGACATAATATATTAATAAAATATTCTGCTCGAATATAAAAGAAAAAAAAAAAACGCAACAAAAGAACTAAAGAAATTTACGCTATTTATTATTAAAGATAACAATAGTAAAAAAAAAGAAATAATATTATAAACCAATATCCTAGCAAACCTAGTAACTCGGCCTAGTATATATAAAATATTACGGATATTTATATATACCTAAATAAAGAAATTATATAAAAAAATTACGTAATTTAAATTAGTAAATCAGTAACTAATCTATAATCTAGATTAGTAGCTTATTATGATAATTTATAAATTAAATTAATATAGGATCAATAATTTAAAAAGATACTAAGGAAAGGAATTAAATATATAGTCTATAGCATTTCTTATATCTTTAGTTATTCTTTTATTTAGTTATCAATTTAAGCATTTTTTACTTTTTTGGAATTGGATGGGAGAACTTTCTTAACGACTATTTTATATAATAATTTTTATAAACGCTCAGCTATATCCTTTTATAGTCGTAAATCGACATCGTCGGTAATATAGCTAACCTTTACTTTTAAGAACAAACCTAACTGGCACGAATAACCATTTAGTTAAACGAGTCGTTACAATACTATAATTTTATATTATTAATTAAAATAAAAATTAATATTTTAAATAATATAATAGTTAAAATTATATTTTAATTATATAATAAAATTTAATATTTTGTTACTTTTTTTTTTAAAATATTACAAAATTTTAAATTTAATTATAACATATTTAATAAAAAAATATTAACAATAATATAAATTTTAAAAAAATAAAAAACTAAACTAATTAAATATTAATATAATAAACTATTTTTAATAATTATTAACTATAAAATATTAGAATATTTTTCGGAAAAAAAATAGCTAAATTTATATTAAATAAATTAGGCTAAATTATTTATATAATATTATTTTATTATTATTTATTAACTAAAACAAAATAATATTATAATTAATATTTTATTCCAGAAATAGGAAATATTTAAAATTACTAAAATAAAAAAAAAAATATAATAAATACTAGCTTTTTTTCGACTAATCAAATATAATAAAACTTCGATATAAATAAATACAGAAAACATTTTTGCTTTTAATATATCTATTTTTAACAAAATTTACGTAATAATTATAAATATAAAAAAAATAGATTATATAATTATAAACGATATTTTATATATAAATAAAAAAAATCCGGAAATAAATATATACCGAAACAAAGCAAAAAAAAACAAAAACGAAAATTTTTAAAAAATTACTAATAAATTAATTATTTATAAAAATCGTTTTATTATTTCTAATATAAATATTTTAAAAACAAGGTTTATTAGAAAAATTTATAATAAAATTTTAACTATTTATTTAAATTATTAAAAAATAAAATAATTATTAACGATTAAATATTAATAACTTAATATAAAAAAAAATAATAATAATTATATAATAAATTGCCGTAATTATTATTTAGCTAAAATATTTAAAAAAAAATTTTTTAGTTTTTTTAAACTACTACCTATTTTTAATAAAATATAAAATTATATAATAATAAATTTTAAAAATATGCCGGAAAATAAAAAAAAATTTAATAACATTTTCGTAATAATCGACCGATTAAATAAAAAATTGTTGGAAAGTTAAAAAAGGTATTATATAATACCGGGTATAATTTCTTTAGTAGAATCTTTTAAAATACAACTAATATAATAAAATATCCGGAGCTAAAATAACTAAATTTAAATAATATATTTAAATAATTAATAAAATAAATAAAAGCAAGTAGTAATAACAAATTTTTATTATTAATTTTGGGTTTTAAAAACTAGAAATAGCCGAAATTACTCTTTTATTGATTTTTTTAATTTTATTATTTTTAGAAAAAATGCTTTTTTATAAATAAATAGATTTAATAGGTTTTAAAAGATTTTAATAATTACTTATTAAATTTAAAAAATTTAATTATAATAAAAATAAACTATTATAAGCATTAAAATGTATAAAATTTCGAAAATTTATAAAAATATTTTTAATAGCTTTATAAAATATAATTAAAACTTATATTATTAAAATCTAAACTATATCGCTATTAAAAAACGTAATTATTATATAATATTACAAAATTTTACCGCTACTATTAATTTTTATAAAAAATATTAAATAATAATATTACTATTAATTATAAAATAATATTTTATAATTTTAATATTTTTTTTTAATATTAATATTTAAAATTTCTAAGTAAAAATTAGTAAAAATAAAAAAAAACTGATTAAATTAAAAAAAACCCCAAAAAAAATAGTTTAATTAAAATTTGAACCTAAATTTTCTATAAATTATATTTTTTTATACCGAAGCGGTAATTATTTTAATATAAAAATATATAATATTAATAAATAAACGTTATAATTATTAAACTATTAAACTAATTAATTTTTAATAAATCTACTATTAATCGTAATTATATATTTTATATAAAAAATAGGTTTTTTTTTCTAAAGACTGTAAAATAGCATAATTTAACTAATTACTAAAAATAAGCTTATTTAACTATATTTAGTAATTTAATAAAACTATTAATTAGTATATTTATTATATTTAAATAAAATATAGTAATAATTTTATTATTAATATTTTATTAAATATATTAGAAATTTACTAAAATATATTTTATATAATTATAATATTTAAAGTTTTTTAAAATTTTTATAATTTTTATATTATTAAAAAATATAATAACTAGTAACATAATTAAATATCTAATTTTTTAATAAAATTTTTATAACTATTTTATTTTATAAATAGTTTTTATAAAAGCTATAAATTTAGCTTTTAAAATAAATAATATAATAATAAAAACTTTTTTCGATTTTTAAATAATAATAATATTTATAATAGTTACTAAATATTTTTAAATAGATTTTTTCGTAATTTTATATTTAGTAAAATCGCTATTTATTATAATAACTAGTTAAAAACTTTTAAAATAGAGATTTTAAAAATATAAATAAATTAGATTTATTTTATAATAAATCGATAATTCTATAATATTTTTTAAATATCGAAAAAAATGCTTAATTTTTATAAAATATGTTTTTTTCGAAATATATATATATTATAATAATTATTATATTATAAAAATAATATTAGTTTTAATAATTATTATAACGTATATTATAATATTTATTAATATTTAATATTATTTTAAATTAAAAATTAAAAATTTATAATTAATAAAATAAATTAAATTTACAAAAAATAGTATTTTAGTAAATTTAATATTTATTAAATTTAATTTAATTAATATTTATTTAATATATTAATTTTAATTTAAATATAAAATTTAAATAGCTATATTATAAATAATTAAAATTTTTAAAAACTAAATTATAAAGTTTTTATTTTTAATAAAAACTTATTTATTTAATTAAATTTTTAAGACTTTAATATAAATAAAATTTAGCTTTATAATAAAATAATTATTAATATAAATAATAATATAATAATTTATATTAATATTTTAATATATTAAAAAGTCCAAAATTAGAGAAAAAAAACCGAAGTTTTTTACGATTTTAATAAATCTTTTTTACTAAGTTTTAAAAATTTATTTTAAATTATATAAAATTTTAAAAATTACTAAAATTTATTTTATAAAAAAATTATAATTATATTTTATAATAAATTTTAATAATTTTAAATTTTTTAGTACTATTTTTAGTATATTCGAAAATAAAAGGTAAATTATTTTTTACAAATTGCTATATAAAAATATATTTATAAAATCTATTTATTTAATTACTTAATTATTTAAAATAGCTAAAATTAAAAAAATTTTCTAAATAAATAAAATTATAATAACTATAAAAGTTTTATTATAATTAATATTTTCGATTTATTTAAAGTTTTTAATAATAAAATAAAATTTAAATTTATATATATAATTTTATTAATTAATTTTAAGTTTTAATATTTATTATATATTAATAGTTTTTTATTTAATATTATTTTTAGT